CAGAGGGGAGGAAAACAGGACACAGCAGATTGGGATTGTGGTGGAGATGCTGAGCAGTTATTTAATTGTTGCATGTAATTATTATTATACTGCGTGCTTCTGAGTTATTCCATCTTTTGCTGTAACATGGATCTGTATGTAACTCTATATTTACTTGTTATCTAACACACTTCCTTCTACATCATACACCATCATTATACATGATGGTGTATATAGGATATATATATTTGTATACATATCTGTAAAATGTATAATTTTATTTAAACGTCTTTTTGATCTCTCAAACTGAATAAGATTGACAATAAAGTTGACTTTGAATTTGAAAAATATATATGTTCTTTATGAAAATAGTTGACTGTTGTCAAATGAATCCAAATGAAACGTTGGACTGAACTACAACTACGCCTTTAAATCTCTACGGACTGTTTTTCAGTGGGATGGCAAGTTCCTATCTTTAAACATTTATTAGTTTTTTCTCAGAACAGATTTGATTTTCTGAAGTTAATTTAACTTTGCCGACCATGTAAGGTCATCATTAAAAGGTACAATCAATTTGTTTAGGGTTGACTAAAATAATGAAAAACATTCATTTGGATAATTTACTGACAGAATAAGAAACTCAATGATGCTCTACTCACCTGTTCCTTTTTTACAAAGTGAAACAGTTGAAACGATAGATTTTAGTAAACTTAAAAACAACCTTCTCCAAAAGCTATCGAGGAATATACCGAATACTTGTTTTAGAACTTTATTACATATTTGTATATAAATAGTTTGAATGGTCCATAATTGACAGAAGCTTGTGTTTACACTGACCTGTTACTCATATATTAATGTCTTTGTAACTTCAGTAAACCACTACCTCACTCATTTCACTTTCATTCATCACGGTTCAGTAAACTAAGTGATACATGAACCAGTTTAATCATTATAATAACGTAGGATTGCAACTCTTTGAAAATGTAGGTGGCTCTTAAAAGAGCCGTTGTGTTTGGGTGTGCTGGTCTCAGGTCAGTCTAAGCCCTCTCTCCGCGGATGCGGCGGGCCAGCTGGATGTCCTTGGGCATGATGGGGACCCTCTTTGCTTGGTTCATCTTACTGGGGGGCAGCTACATGGATGTCGGTGCAGTCCACAATCATTGCGCAGTTGAAGGCAGAATGAATTTATTATTGACTCCGAATGAAGCACAACTTCATGTCATACAATACATTGACTTTATTTGTAATTGTGTAAAAACATATGAGCATTGATTAGCAAGCAGGACCTGCAGGAACAGAGAATGGTGATGGATGGAGCTGGGAAGAGAGAAGAATAAAGAAAACAGATCAACTTTATTATCGGATATTAAAAATTCAATTTCAAAACAAGTTGCCGCTCCTACAGTTATCTAGTATGTAAAGATGATTTCACATGACCTATGCAAAATATCACACTCAATACATGTGTGTCTCTGGGGGGTGCATTGTGCCTTTGATGTATATAAATAATATACCATAACCAAATACTATTACGTACAGTGGAAGTCAGGTTGCCAGAGCAGGTCAGTGTGCATGTTCCTCAACGTCTCAGCAGTTACAGGTGAGGTAAAGAAAATAAAAGAGAAAAAGGTCAGTAACAACACTTTAAAGTAACAACACTTTGAATAATTATCTCTTCTAACAATTTTCTCTCAATAAGCACACAACGACTGTCTTTCCAACAAACAGATTGTCATCACAATGAAACACGTCCAGAAGAATGTCATGCAAAGCTCCATGCCTGCCTTCGACTCTCCCTGAACTGCTTCCTTAGCACCCGGTGGAGGGCGCAGTAGGCTACTCTTCAAAAGTTTCACGAAATACTTACCATCATGTTTGGTTACTGTTTAACATTTTGGTTTACTTCATGTAATAAAATAATAACTTCATGGTAAGGCTACTAAAAATGACAAGGCTAAGTAATGTAATGCTAACTAACGTGCTCGCTACTCGTCGCTACTAGCTAGGTAGCTAACTTGACTATGTTCCATGCACAACATGTATATTACCTATGATATTACCTGATATGTCTGATCCAGCGACTCCTGGTCCTTTCATCAGACGGGAATCGATAGAAGGAGCAAGTGGTATGATCACTTTTATGACTACAACCTGGTACAAAGCACACAGGCATCTTGTAAAAGTGAATTTATTTTTAGCGATCTATAATTTATTGGAGGGAATAAATCAGTTATGAGATCTTCTTCTTCTTCGCTTTAATTACGAGTCTTATTATAAATCACCGAGCATGCCTGTGACATCACTTACGCGACCCAGAATGGGATTTGGGATTTGTAGTCTTTGTAGTAGCGTATTTTTCATAGACTTATATTTCAGCAGTTTTACGACAAAATGTGACTTTTTTGACATGGAAATGATTGTTTAAGATTGACAAACATCATATGTGTAGTTCGTGGCACAATTCAAACGGGATCAAAAGATATGTGTTCTCTCTCCATTGAATTCAATGTAAATTTTTCGCTTCCGGGGTCCCATGGTCCGTAAGTAGATGGGCGTGACTTCGCCTCTCCATAGGAGCTTTTGCCGTTTTTTCACCCCTTTTCAAAGCTTTTTCTCTCTTTTGAATGATATATCAGATTAAACAGCAAACGGCTGAATAAATAATGTGCATACAATTGCGAGGAGGCTCGTTTTAAGGACACGTTTCTCAGATCTGTCACAATCTTCGTATTGGAATACACTTACGTTTTTGAGTGGATGGATCTATTCTTGAGGCAAACCTCTCCTGTGACAAAATGGCATCCAATGTAATAAAAAAAGTCAATCAAAGAACTAGATTCCTATACCGGATCTCCTCTCTGGTAAACAAAAACACCCTGAAAACTCTGGCAGGAGCACTCATTCAAGGGTACTATGACTATGCTTGCCCGTCATGGTACCATAGCACCTCCAAGGCGCTAAAAATAAAACTTCAAACATCGCAAAATAAACTGGTCAGACTACTGCTTGACCTTTCATCTAGAACCCACCTCACCTCTGCCCACTTTGACAACCTAGGATGGCTTAGAGTAGACGACAGAGTACAGATACTTGCAATGGGCCTGGTCTACAAGATCCACTACATCTCTATGGTACCCATGTACATGTCAAAATTCTTCCCAAAGGTCAAGGAATACCATGATCATAACACCAGAGGGAGCTCCACAAATCATGTGAAACCCAGATTTGGCACAAAAAAGGGGGAATACACGTTTCGCAATTATGCCACATCAAGGTGGAACGCTCTTCCCACAACTGTAAAGGAAAGTAAAACTATACTTACCTTCAAAACCTCTCTTAAAGAGCACCTTCGGGGGAGAGCATTGCAAAACTGGCCCCGGTAATGGTACAAATCTCAACCTGTCGTTCAATGGACAGCTTCCCCCCCCCATCTATGTATATACTCGCATTTTAGACTCTGTTACTAACTGTATATCTGTAGACTTGGTATGTCTTAAATGTCCGGTTAGGATGTATTAGAACGAAATCTAAAATGAAAATTGTAAACAAGCAATCTGTATGTAAAAAACCACCTGTATGTAAATTGTAAATAAGCCATCTGTATGTCAAATATGTATTATATGTCTTAAATGATATGATGAATTGGAAATGGGGGACCCTGATGTAAACAAGACGAAAGTCTTTCTCTGGTCTGCATCCCCTTAACAATTGTATGTTTTGAGCTGTACTGTACTGTACCCAATATACAAGCTGTTAATAAACTTTTCAATCAATCAATCAATCAATCAGTGTATAGTCCCACTCTGTTATATTCCTCCTTCCGACAGAACAGACAATGACGGGATAATATGTGATTTGTCAATAGTCCTATTTCTTAAAAACGTCTCTGTTGTTTAAGTGTCTGATAACCACGAATAGTAAGCAATGATATAACCGTAATTATATCACATGATCATGTCAGACAGACACTGTGTTATTTTCAATCAAGCCTACAAGATCATGTGTTCAAACTGGCTTCACTCACTTGAATTGCTCTTTTGAATATCATTTTTATATATTTCTACTCAACACATGTTTGCATTGTAATGCCACTCCTATTTTTTTTGAATTGTATTTTAAGGTGACATTGAATGCTTTGAAAGGTGCCCTAAAATAAAGTGTATTATTGATCTTATATCTGTGCCTCTATTACATTACATTTCATTTTCTATCACACTATTAATGTTCCTTATTTTAGACTAGGTTAATCCTGGTGTCAATAAGGAAGATCTGCACTGTTCTCTACATAACATGTTCAGAGCAGGTATTTCTCCTGCCGGATTTGGAACCCCCCCCTATATCTTTCTCCAGGATAGTCACAGACTCACCAAAATCACACTGGTGTTGCATGTTCCCCTCTAGTTTGTGCTCACACAAGCATTTCACTCATTTACTGTAGGCTACATTAAGTAGGCTACTGTACTTAAGTACAATTTTGAGGTAATTGTATTTCACTTGAGTATTTCCATGTATTGATAGCCTACTTTGTTCTCACTCTATACAATTCAGATGAAAATCTGCATAATGAGTATTTTTACTTTTGGATGGCTACATTTTTTTTTACTTTTACTGAATACAATTTTGAATACAATACAGGATTTGTGTATTCCTACACCTTGGTATTCCTACTTTCACTAGAGTACAATGAAAGTACATGATCGATTGTGACAAATAAGTAATAACCAATTAAAACAACATAATTTAAATACATTTAATACATTCATGTTTTATTTATTCATACTCCTAACAGGTACAACATACACGGCTTACAAATACTTATAAAAAATAAGACAGCCATTTAAAAAAATAAATATCTAAAAAGTAATTAAATATATATACACACACACACACACACACACACACACACACACACACACACACACACACACACACACACACACACACACACACACACACACACACACACACACACACACACACACACACACACACACACACACACACACACACACACACACATACATAAATACTTTAAAAATAAAATACAGGAATGCCCGTTAATCGGGGCATTGTCAAATGATAAAGAACATTGTCTGTTCCAGTCGTTATCTGCTTCAATTTAATGAAGTAAGTAGCTTTGATGGGTTTACACCACCAACTGTTAATACAAAAAATGAAAGTGCCTCAACAGGAAAGCTTTGACTTTTGCCAGTCTTAAGTTTCATAAATATCAATTTCATAAATAAAAGGAAATAGTAAAAATGTAAACTAAATCCAATTAAAATACATTATAATAGTCAGTTTCAGACAGCTATAAACATGATGAACAACATTAAAACAATTTTAATAAAAAGTAGCCTTAAGTTCTGTAAAAAGTGTGTTGAAAATGACTGTCGGAAGACAGATCCAATCAGAATCATGACTTCTTAGACTTGAGGAGCTTCTCCAGGACGTCCAGAGCGGACTGGATGTCCTCCGGCGTCATGTCTCTGAGGGCGGGCAGCTCCTCGGGCCGCGGCCTCCTCCTGCGGCCGGCGTCCCCGCTGCTGGCCCGGGCCGGCCCGCCGTGGATGCCCCGGAGCCGGAGCTGCAGCCACTCCCGGCGCTCCTGCACCTGCTTCAGCTCCCCGAGGTTGTGCATGAGCTGGACCTCACTCACCGTCCTCTTCCTGCACACACAAGCACTCATGAAGATACAAGGCAAAAACGGATAGTGCCGATAAGGAGGGTGTAAAATATGTAGCCTAAATGCGTGGAGTTGATCATAATTGATCCGTTAGGAGGGGGGGTTACCTTAGGGGGCGTGCTTCACAGAGAGGGCAGAGGTGTAGAATGCAAAGGGAAATGAACAAGGTTTGATATTCCAGACTGTGCATGTTGACTTGATGATCTGTTCAAAAAGTAAAAGTAAACAAATCAATTCTCTATGATACAATTAATAAGCTCTGACAACTTCGAATTTTTATAGATTTTGCATTGCAATTTCTAAAAATAAATGTATTTAAATGAAACAAAGTAATAAACAACTTTGTTGTTAAATATCTCAGAAGAATGTGAACATACCTCTGGTGCTGCCTCTGTTTGGAGCTGTGTATAAAGTGAAGTCAGGCTGCTTTGGTGGTTAGCTCCCATCAGTTCTGATAGGCACTGGACTCCCCAACTTCCTTTTATAGCCCCCGGCCGGCCATTGATGAGCTGCCTCCATTATTGCTGTTGATGTCCCACCTCCAGCTCCAGAGGGGCAGGACAGGAATGACAACACCTCCTCTGAGCTCCAGGCGTTCACCTCTGTCATTCCACAGCAAACTAATGGCTCTGCATGTACCCAATTCACTCCCACATACATGCATGACACGCATGCACCAAATCCCAAACATTTAATAGGAATGTCTGTAAATCATATCATTGATCTAACCATGCAGTGTTTCATCTCCATGCTTGGGGAGTAACCCCATGCTACCAACATGCTAACCAACATGCTACCAGAAATAATTCTTCTTTATTTTCAATACATTTATTTTTGAATGCAGTAGGTGGACACCTGATTTATTAAACAAGAATACAGTCTATGCTTTTGTTTAATGTATTAAGCTTAATCAGCATTTGTAAACTAGTTTTTATTTGCATTGAATTTGATATTGAGGTAATCAAAAGTAACAGAAAGTAATCAGATTACATAACTTTTATATTTTGATACTCAGATTAGGTTACTGATTACATGATTTGCCATGTAACTAGTTATCGTAACGGATTAGATTTTAAACTAACCCTCCCAACCCTGATTAATCTCCAATATCTGAAATAACAATATTTGTTATAACAATAAAAGCTATCACAATATAACTACAGTTTTGACTAAAAAGTGACCCTGTTTCCAACACCCAAGCGTCACTTTCCCCAGCCCTGCACACATTCTCCCTGCACATTTTCAATTGTGCATGCCTCTTGGTTATTTTTCACCTACTTTTGTCAAGTGGCCAACTCTAGTCCACATCTGATGTGACCTTTTTTGTCTGACTCCCAGGCCACAGCAACAATAGCGGCAACATTTGGATGAATTTATGACTCTCATTGACCATTTGGGGGTCTCCCTGGTTACATAGGCACTTCACTCAAGAATTTACATTGTTTTAATGAGTTTGCCTCCCGGAAAAGAGCTTTTACACGGACCTGACGTCAGAGAAAACTTCCTCAATCAAAGAGTGAGTGCGAGTTCAAGGAGTGTGTCAGGGAGTGATGCCGCTGCCGTCATTGTCTTGTCATCAGGGGTGTGTGCACGCATGCATCGCTGAACATCAAGGAATCATGACTTACTCTAATGATGGTTGAAAAGAGGAAGAGCAAAGGGTTATTTCACAGAACATAATTCTGTGGTCTAAACATTAGAGTCTGAGTGATGTTTGCAACTGATGCCAATTTCTTTATGTAAATACACAAAATAATGTTTTACAAGGATCCCCTGAAATTGATTAAAAAATTTCAGAGAGCAAAGGCTATCATTTTCCATGACAGGACATTTCACATTTGAAAATGAAACTTTTACTTCACGGCCAACACAGTCAACACAGACTTTGGAAAGCACAGCTTGTGGTTTGAGCTCTGCAAAGACGGAACGATATGATTAACCTTTCATCATAATACACAGAAATGGTGTGCAATGATAAAAGTACATTTGAAATAAATTAAATTGAGCCCACTTTCTTGGATTTAAGAAACAAACGTGTGCAGTATAATCCATGTCTCATTATCCACAAAAACGCTCACTACTTCACAAACACATTCTGCAAAGCTTTACTATTTCAAACACTTCTAATCTGTTTCACTCCTGCTCAGTGTTTTTATAAAGTAAGGTCACGTTTAAAGTCTCTAGTACTTTATTTGAGTATGTAAACTGCTTAACCACTGATGTACCTGTATTTACTATTGCAATGACATGATATTAATACACAGTGTGTAGTACACAGTTTAATAACATTAAAGGGGACCTATCATGCAAAATGCACTTTTTTATGTCTTTTCTACATACACATGTGTCCCCGGTGTGTCAGGGAACTCACGCAGCGTCAGAAAATAAAACCCTCTCTCTTTTCCTCCGTACCCAAATCTCTAAGAATGGGGGAACAACGGAGCTGATCCAGATTTGCGTCCGATATAACGTCATATCGGCAATGCAGACCCACGGCACTATCTGAAACGTTGCTATCAGAAACAATGCCCGACTGTTTTGGACGTAATATGGTCGGTGTTTATATTAGCATCGCTAACACTCAGAGCTAACTGGAGAGAGCATGTGTGTGAAGAAGCAGGAAATAAAAAGGAACTCACCTTGTGGTATAACCGGCAAGAGAGAAAGCCTTTGAGCTCCATACTGTTTCAGAGAGAATCCTTGATAATCCATGATATGGCGTTTCATCACGGCAGAATCTGCCGGAATCTCCCGCATGAGCAGGCATAAACTCCGCCCCTCTTTTTTATCAATTTTCTTTTTTTAAAGCTTTATACATAAAATCAGCACTTTTGAAACAGGAAGTGAAATAGAGGGATATGAGGCATGGCTAGAATGGGTGATCTGTTTTGTATTTTGAGCAACACACTTCATAGACATGTTTTTTATATATCTAAGACCTATTCTATTGCCTAAAAATAGCCACCACAAGAAAGAATTAATTATATTTTTTGGTTTTGGTAAACTGACACCTTAAAGAGAAAACATTGTTGAATAGATTAATAATATCAATTACATGTAATCTAATAAAACTCACAGCATGTGACTGTGTTTTATTACACAGTTCCTCCAGTTTACATGATCTCCAAGCACTCATCATACACATTATGTTATTCTTCTCATTATTTTTCTCTGAGGAAGAACAGTTATTTGGGATGCAACCATGTTTCATATAAACTGATAGACTGTGTTAGTACATGTAGCGAGAGCTGATGGCCATGTGATGACACAAAGACTGTTCACACCAAGACCCTTAATCTGCTGAAACGGATTTCTACAAATAAAAAATTAGACTTCATATCCTGCAGTCAAAGGGTGGATCTAATTAATACATTGTATTGTAAAGTATAATTGTAGTTTTAGAAAAGCAAATGGCAGAGCTTAACATCTTTAAAGCTCCAGTGTGAACTGACATACTGCTCAGTCCACACATTTCGATCATTGTTATGTATGCCGCTCCTCCTTCCATTCCCACGGGGAAAAAAGATCATGACGGCATCAGCAGAGGATACAGAGTATGACATTAGTCCAAGCAACTCTAAGAAATATAGGTAACTTCTACCCATCCATGTGAAGAGGATGTGAAGTTTACCATGAAATGAAAGCATAAACTGCTAATCCTCATCTTATATCAGCCCCTGCACCTGTTCATCAGGAAATGGTCAGGTGTTGTTTACAAACCAGCGTAACAAGATCCCCAGTTATTGGTGGGGCACTTCAGAGACATTGACCTACGCTTGCTTCCCGTAACACTGTGAAGGACTACAGTGGCCACGGCCTGTTTAGATGACACCCGCTGAACACAGCGACCTCTGACCTCAGTTGAGGTCCTAAACCCGCCGTCCTCATTACCTCATGCTGCCATAATGTAAAGCATGTTATTCATGGCCTGCAGAGGCAACGAGCTATGTGAGAACAAGGCTTCAAATACTACTTATATGCAATATATATATATACTGCTTCATAATTATTATTATTATTATTATTACTGGCTGCTGTCCCTTAGCTAGACAATTCAATTTAACTTCTGTAATAAATCTGTAAATAACTGTGCAATGTATACTTCCACATGTAATACTACCACCTGTCTGCTATCTCCTAACTGTAACTGGTACTGGATGTGCATTTCTTTCATTGTAACTTGTGTAAATCTACATTTATCTTTAATATATTTATGCAATATTTGGCTCTTTAATTGCTTTAACAATGTACATTTCCCCTCTGTGGGACGAGTAAAGCTATTCTGATTCTGAAATCAACACCAAAATATGGACCCATCATCACAGATGATACCAAATACAGGAAAAATATTTTCTAACATTTATCCTTACGTTCACTGCCACTGTGCTAAGTGGAGCTGTAAGGGAAGCTGACATTTCCATTCACAGCTATGGCCAGGTGCTAAATCAGGTGCATCCGTAAGGCAAGCTGGTGCCCGGGACTTAAGAATAGTCACAGAAGAGAAAATAAGGAGAGGAGGGCTTCTATTTCAGACCGGCTGTGACTTTTATAGAGGGTGACGGCATGTCCTGAGAGGGTGACCGAGAGATAAATAACATTGCACAGATGCTCATCTCAAGCCAAGATAATGTAGAGGAAACCTCCTGCAAAAGTTATTTTGAAACGTATATAGTGCTATACTATGGAAATGAAAACATATACAATTAAAAACCAAAAAAAACATAGCTGATAATCTATGGAAAAAAATGAACTGAATATTGCAGATTTTTTTTAATGTAATGCTCTTTTTTGATTTGTATTTTCTATTATTATTATTATTATTATGTTTATTATTATTATTATTGGGGCTAAAACACAGAGCATGTTTTTATTTTACCCAGTGCATGCTGATATAAGGCTGCACATGTAAATATCTACATGTTTACAATTACGTGTGTATGTCCGATATAAAGAGGGGTATGTAATATATAATATGTTATACATGTTCTTGTTTCTTTGTTGTAATTTACCTATACTATTTGCAAAAGTATGAGTTTATATTCCGAACAAAGTGCATCTGTTCATGAAATAATAATATGTCAGACAATACATGTTGCAATAAAAGGTTTGTTATGGAGAGGATATGATAAAAAGGGAAAACCAAGTTGTAAAAGCTTAAAGCTGCACGGCATATTAGTTCTCTGCTTGAGGAAACAGAACCTTACAATGTTTGCATGATAATGTGAGCAATAATTGCATACTTAGACATTTAACACAGTTGGCAAGATTAGCATTAAAGTTCAATATGTATGATACCTCTCAGTAACACATTTCATAATAACCTTTGTATTTGTTAATATAAAATTGATGATTAGTGCAGCTTTGAATATAGTGGGTAATAACTCTTGGAACATAGTCAGCATGAAGTACTTTGCTTTTCAAAATGCTATTGCTGATTGCACT